TCCACGCGGGTGGAAGATCCCAATGACAACGCTCCCCTGCCTCAACGATAGAGGGTTCAGTCGAGCGGTTCCACTTTTACTCAGGCCAGTCAAATGACCTCTGGATTGACTAGTCCCTCTCAGTCGATCATCCTTTGGGCTCTACAATTCACCAAGGTGGATCCCATATCACTGCTAAGGATACCATGTTCAAGAATAGGGCCACAACTCTATCTTATTTTAGGGACCTTTGGACTCTCATGGATATAAAGTTCTAAAAAGAACTTAGTAAGAAAGACATATTCTCCCGCCTCCCTATCTGTGCTATAGAGATACAATTCTTTCCTTGTGTATATATTATTATTATTATTATTATGCCTTAGTTAAGCATTTTATCCCTACAGACCGTGTTCGGTATAGCTGGTATGCAGAGGGTTAGTGCCTTAGTTGAGTATTTTATCCATACAGACCGTGTTCGGTATAACTGGTATGCAAAGGGCTGTTGACGACAGGGAGCAACAAATTGCCAGCATCCATACTCTGCAGAACAAACTTATTGAAGATTTCACTAAGTTGGTTGCCAAGCTCCGTGAATCCGAATGGAGTCACTTTAAAATGGCAAAGAACTTGGAAGCGTCTAAGACCGCTCGAATGTTTGTATAGACGAAGCTAGAGGATGTGGCAAGTACTCTTATATGCTGGGGTTGCTCAGTACAGTGTAAGGTGGTATTACTGTTTTACACTCCTGGTTGTCCCATACTATAACCATGAGGTATGTAAACAGCTACCGAGATGGCTTCCTGCACTATCATTTAGCTAAAAGGGCAAGAAGAGCATACAATGGTTTGGATGCCTGTGACTTGGCCTTAGATATTGAGCTACCCAAGAACTATGTTAACCCCTTTGAGGATCTCATATAAGAAGTCTTCAAGGAGTGTTCGGACATTCTGGTTTCTTCCAGTGTTTCTCCCACTCCCCCCTTACTTCCTACTATTGATCCCCCTGTCTCTCCAGCTCCTCAAAACTAGCAAGATGGATCAATAGATCGAGTTGAGGATCTTCTGATTTTTGTTAATGTAATCCCTGCTGGAGATAAAAGCAAATTCGGAGTCTGTTGTGGAGAACACTGTGAATATTGAGTTTTCTCCTTCCCAGTAGTATAATGTGTAGGGTTTTTTTTTATTCCTTTTGTAACTCCAAGGCACGTGGTGTAATATTGGACTTTTCCGTCTTTGTATTGGATATTTTTATCATATAATACCAAGAAATGTCTTTTGCTGTTTATGATATTTTAACTCTTTTTTCTTTGCCACACTTGCCTAACTTATAGAAAATTTAACTTAATCTTTGGTGATCGGCTCTTAGTGCCATTTGTCACTCAACTTGTAATTTTGTTTGAAAATTTAAATAAGTCTTTGGCGATCGGCTCTTGATGCCATTTGCCATTTAACTTGTAAATTCTAAGTCTTTAGCGAACACCTCTTAGTGCTACTTACCACTCAACTTGTAATTTTCTTTGAAATTTTAACTAAGTCTTTTGCGATGAGTTCTTGGTGCCACTTGCTATTCTGACTTGTGATTTTCTTTGAAAATTTAACTAAGTCTTTGGTGATCGACTCTTGGTACCACTTTCCACACTGACTTGTAGTTTTCTTTGAAAATTTGACTAAGCCTTTGGCGATCAGCTCTTAGTGCCACTTGCCACTCTGACTAATAATTTTCTTATAAAATTTGACTAAGTCTTTGGCGATCGACTCTCAGTGCCACTTGCCACTCAACTTGTACTTTTCCATGTAAAAATTTGACTAAGTCTTTGGCGATCGGATCTTGGTGCCACTTGCCACTCAACTTCTAATTTTCTTTGAAATTTTAACGAAGTCTTTGGTGATTGGCTCTTAGTGCTACTTACCACTCAACTTGTAAGTTTCCATAATATCATCTTCTAAACTCGATCGAATGCTCCGTATGCTATTTGCCACTCAAGTTGAAAAAATCTTTATAGAAAACTTGAAAGATTTTTTCAAGTTTTTTGGTTGATGATCATTCATACAACTTATCATACTGAGAAGAAGTTATCACTTAATAATTTTATAACATTTACTTTTCATGAGAGGTTATATTAGCATTCGGCTCAACCTTACAAGCTTTTTTTAGCATAAAATGAAAAGAAGGGATGAAAGGATAGAATCTTTTATTGGAAGCTCCTCTTTAGGTATATGGCATTCCATGGCTTGTCGATCTGCCTGCCATTGAGCCTTTCGGGCTTGAACGCTCCTTTCCCTATAACCTCAGTGATTTTGAATAGTCATTCCCAAGGGGTTCCATCTTGGACACTATACCTACTTTCCTTTTTAGGACAAGATCTCCTTGGGCAAATGCTTTATGCTTGACTTTTTTTGTTGTGGTTATTTATTAAAGTTTGTTGGTAGGAGGTTAACCTTATCACTCCTGCTTCTATCTTTTCTTCTATCATATTGAGGTTCTGTTCAAGCATTTAACTATCTTTGGGGAATGCTTTGTTGAGGTTTGTGAAGTCAAAACATAACTTCCACTTTTCATTCTTTTTTTGTACTACAATAACATTTGAGAACCATTGAAGGTAATGCACTTCCCTGATGAATCTTGCCTCCAATAAGTGATCGACTTCTTCAGCTATTATCTAGATCCTTTCTGGGGCAAATCTTCTTTGCTTCTATCATATGGATTGAAAACTTGGATCAACATTTAACTTATGACAAGCAACCTCTGGGCTCGCTCCTGGCATATCCAGGTGGCTTTAAGCAAAGACATCCAAGTTTCTTCTTAAAAGCTCAACTAACTCATTTTGCTCTTCTTGGGATTGCAGTGTCGTACTCTTGTTGTCCTTTCTACTTTGCGCAGATAAATTTGTGCTTCTTTTAGCTTTTCTTCAGTGAGGAATTGTTCATCCACCTTTATGATTTATTCAATTGACTTGGACGGAGGGCTTTATGATTGTTATTTAAGGTCTTGAGGCCTACCCTTGCCCTTATCTCTAGTTCAGAGGGTTATTGTGTAGCATTTCTTTGCAGTGACTTGGTCTCCGCGAATTTCAATCACATCATTTCCTTTTGGGTTCAAGCATCTCATAACCTGATGCAAGGTGGATGGGATGCCCGATATGCGATGGATCCACCCCCTTCCCATAAACAAGTTGCAGGATGGGTGGATGTCCAGAATAACAAATTTCTCCTTATGGTTCCTCCACGTAACATATACTGGTAGTTCGATTACTCCGATCCGTTCCACCATTTTCCCATCGAAACCAACCAATGCATTCCCGGTCGGCCTAATTTGTTTTGGGTCGACCATCAATTGTTTGAAGGCTAACTTGATGATTATATTAGCACTATTTCCTAGGTCGATTAGGAATCGCTTTATAAGGCAACTAGCCACTATGAGGTTAATCACGAGAGGATTCTCGTGTGGGGTTTGCACCTTCTGAAGGTTGGCTTTACCGAATCTGATCTGAGTTAGGCCATTTTCCCTTTTCACGGTGTTGACACTACCCAATCTTCTCAACTTCTGTGCTTACCTTAGACGTGATTGGTGCCCTTCTTTAATCTTCTCGTCTTTCTCTAGTCGCGCATGTATAATGTTGATCATCCGAATAGGATGTGCCTTTTGAGGGTTAGTAGCTTTATCACTCCATTCCACCGGGTTATGGTGCCTTGTCATTTAGTTTGGGTTTTGGTGATCTTTGGTTAATAAATAATTTGACAACTTACCCCTGGCGATTATTGTTTTAACCCGTCCTCTCATATTTCTGCATTTATTGGTTTAATAGCCAACATCGCTATGGAAGGTGTAGTGCTTTGACTAGTCCTTTTTGTTCGAACGGTTGTCTGATTGGTTGTGGTGGTGTGAACTTTGCCTTGTTCTCTTGGTAGAACCTTTCCAGTGAGATCTTTAGAGGGTTCAAAGTTTCCTCCTCTCTCTACCGTTTGGGAGGTCTCCAAGGAACTGGTGGTGCTTCGATTAAGGGCCTTTGGTTCTTCATCTTATCACATGATCGGTTCTCCACAGCAACTATGGTGGTTCATTGCATCCTTACTACCTCATTTTCTTCTAGTTGTATGTATCCTTGAGCCTTGGCACTTAACGTCCCCATATTCAGTGGGGTCTCTTTACCAATGAAGAATGGAATTTCATCCCTAGAATGATCGTCAGCTTAAAAGCTTCTACCACTGCCATTTGATCGCAGTCATCAACCATACTCATTTCTAAGTTGAACATGGTGAGGAAAGCTTACAACCGTCTGCTACCTTATAGTGAATAGGCTCGATATGGTCGTCTGAATTTGCTGGTTTCCAAAGTACTAAGCATATACAGTTGACACAATTGATGGAAACTGTCGACTGATCATTTTAGCAAGTGTTTGAACCAGTTGAGCGCCGGTCCGGCAAGGCTTGTTGGAAATACTCTACCTATCAAAGCGTCATCGTCAGTGTGCAAAGCCATTTTGAGCTTCACATTGTAGAAGTGCTCCATCGAGTCTTTAGTCCTAACAAATAAGGTGAATATTGGGACGACGAACTTCTTTAGCTTGGGTTTTTAAGAATCTCCTCTGTGAAGGGGGGATTCCACCATGTGGGTGGATGTCCTGGCGGCCATGTCAGCTGATGTCGGCACCTTTAGCTCCTTCATTTGTTCTCTTATCTTCTTTTGAACCTATGTCCTAATATCCATTTTGGACGTTTCGTCGAACGTATGGTTTGTAGTGGATTTTCATGTAGTGGGATGACTAGTTCCCTCCTGCTTGTTCGTCAATCCTTTACACCCTGGGTCGATCTCAGGTCAGCGGTAGTCGAGGTATACAGATCCGACCTAGTCATTCTACAGTTGATTAACTTCGTTTGCCGCCGCGACATCTACTGGAGGGGGAAGAGGTCGTGGCATAGCATCATACTCAAAACATTATCTGAGCTTAACCTTCTTTTGATTCAATTTCGACTAGCTCTGCGTTCTCCCGGCATAAGGTCTGAACCAGTTACCAAAGCTCATCATACTGATCGCTTCGATTCTCTCCTTACTGGCGCGTACTTCCTTCTCCGATCATGGTTCTTGATCGCAACTGTGTCATGAATCAAGTCGAAAAAGTACGAGATCTCACTCGTCGTTTCCTACAAATGACGCCAATTAGGTCTAGGTACAGAAATAGGTTCTCTCCCAAAAAAGGGAAAGTTTCCATACAATACACGATCCCCCTCCCACTATCTTTCTTGTTTCTTTTATAGTGTCCGTGCATTGCCCTAATATTTTTCCCTTTATGCCCACATCTTGTTGTTAATGGGCCATCTACTTGGTGGGTTGGCTTGACCCACGTGGAGTGATAAGTTTGCCTGGGCTAGGTTTACATTTCTTGGGCCTATTGTTAAAGGATCGGCCCATCTCTTGGGCATCTTTTAATGCCTATACTTGTTGGCATATTTGTCCTTTAAGCCCCTTCCCAGGGCATTGGACACCTGGTGGTCCAGGGCTGTGTTTAGTTAGCATGAATAGCAAAACCCAAAGGAAAAATGAAAATGATTAAAGAAAAAATGTATTTAGTATATTAAAGCAAAAAATAACTTGCAAAGCTTGTCAAACGAAATGGATCGTACCAAGCTCACCCTTAAACCAAAAAATAAATAAATAAATGGTTCGTACCAGTCAAGTTGTTCGCATAAAATGAAATCTGTTTCAAAGAAGTAATGTTAAATATGGATGATGGAATGCGACCAAAGAGGCGGGCAATCGGTATAGATAAATCCTCCAAATTACGAAGGTTACCCATGTCCTCCGGAATTTCACCTGCAAAAGAATTTATCATTTGTATACACAAATTAATTTTGATATCATATTAATAATATAAGTATAAAACAAATGCTCTCAAGATTCAAACTGGTTTTCTTGTACTTAATTACCATCGATATAAAACATTTCATTTTAATCATATAATTATAGATAAACATAACAAAATATGTGGCATGCATTTTTTTAAACCTGATCGACAAGCTACAAACTCACTATGAGGGCACATTAATTCATAGACTTCTAATTTTTATTTTTTTTTCTTGAAAAATTAGGTGGAGAGAGAATCTAACATGGGCACACTGAATTGATCATAAACAAATTAAAGATAGTATATGTAAGAGTACCTTCCAAGTTGTTATATCCAAGATATAACTGCCTGAGCACAGTTAAATTCCAAATCCCTTTACGAATGGGTCCATTGAATTTGTTAAATGATAGTGACAAACTTTGAAGTTCTGAGCACTCATATAAACTTGATGGAATTTCGCCATGTAACTCATTCAGAGATAGATAAAGCAATTGGAGGTTTGAAAGACGACGGCACATATCCATTGGAAGATTACCAGATAAGCTATTGCTCGTAAAACCAATTGCTTGCAGCGACGAGATATTGAAGATGGTTAGTGGCACATTGCCTACAAACTGGTTATATTGCATGTTTAGAATCTTCAGGTGATGAAGATTACCAACCTCTTGTGGAATCATTCCATGTAGAAAATTGGAAGATAAATCCAAGTGTTCTAACATTGATATGTTGGAGAGGGAAGGTGGAAGCTGTCCACTAAATTTGTTAACTTCCAAATTCATGAATTTCAATCGACGCAGATGAGATAATTCATGGGGCAGATGACCACTGAAATTGTTGGTACTAAGGTCGAGGGAAACGAGAAATGAGAGGTTACCTAGGTTTGGTGGAATTGTACCTTCAAGAGCCAGGTTAGAAATATTCAAGGATGTCACTCGTAGGTGGCGAGTGCCGCAAGTGACCCCAATCCAGTTACAAATTGAGGTAGTTGTGGACCAATTGTTAGCCAAGACACCACGAGAGTTAAACGTTATGTGGGATTTCAAGGCAAGAAGAGAAGATTGGTCACTAGTAATGTTGGCAACACTCCCAGCTAAACAAGCCAAAAGACAATGCACTAACAACACTACACGCAAAAGAGCAAAGCAAGTTCTCTCCATTAGTGTGTGATTAATTTGGATTAATACAAAAATGGTGGGCATGCAAAACATAGCACAATATATATATATATATTTCTGCATTCTATTGTATTATAATGTGATTCTTTGAAATTGTGCACTGAACCATTGACTCTAGTGTAGTATAATCAATACCACTTCCAGCCGTCCATTAAAATTAAAGGAATAATTTATACCTATCATTTTTTCTTATCCAATCTCAAAGTGCACAACTCAGACCTTACCATTTTCTTTTTCAGTACAGCTAAAATTTATGATATATAGCTGTACTGAAAAAGAAAATGGTAAGGTCTGAGTTGTGCACTTTGAGATTGGATAAGAAAAAATGATAGGTATAAATTATTCCTTTAATTTTAATGGACGGCTGGAAGTGGTATTGATTATACTACACTAGAGTCAATGGTTCAGTGCACAATTTCAAAGAATCACATTATAATACAATAGAATGCAGAAAAGGGCACAAGCTAGAAGTGTCCCGGGGGCTAAGACTAACTTTTATCTTTCCAACTTTTTTCAGTAAAAAAATTATTTCCTCTCCCAACAATAGGCTAGTGTTATTTGAGCCAAAAGTCTTCCATTGTGATCCACTGCTCTTGCCCACACCACAATTAATTAATGGTTGGTCGAAGTCTTGATTTGAAAACTTAGGCTCAAAAACCATTATTTATAACTTTAAAAATTCACTAGTTTTATATATCTATCATGTGGGGACCATAAGCAAATTGGGATGTGAATGTGTGTGCATTCTGTAGCAAATTGGGATGTGATGCGTGGGTTATGTAAGTGGTAAATGCACTTGTTAAAGGTACATTAAGAATGTTGATTAATGCAAAGTTTGAATATAAATACGGAATGCTCATTGCTATATGTATGTACTTGAATTTAAGATCATGTTTGGTGTGAGTGGATGAAATCAGATGAAGTGAGAATGAAATGTTTTTGTTTTCATTCTTTAGTTTGATAAGTAACTTTAAAGTTGGAATGATAATTCTTGCCTATTCTCCGAGACTAGTGATTTCCCTAATTCATTCCAACTAAAGGAATGACCATTCCATTCCCACTTTTAAAAATAAATAAATAAATAAATAAAAATATTTTAATACAACGTCAGCTACACACACACACATATATATATATGTTTTACAAAAATATGATTTTTTTTGTGCAACCAAACATGGGAATGAGAACGGTCATTCCATTCCTATTCCATTCTTTGATTCATTCCATTTCAACTTTATTTCATTCAACCACACCAAACTAGTCTTGAGAGAAAAGAATAAGATCTCTCTAGCTCTATTTTTCTATAATTATATGCTCTATATTTTTTTTTAGATTCACAATACGTTATCAGCACGAGTCTCTAACCAACTAGACTCTCAACTCATATATCCTACTTGTGATATTAATTTTGATAAATTGTTGTGTTTGTTTGCTTTGTTAAACACAATGAAAAAGAAAATTTTATCTTCTCAAAAAGTATTGAGCATATATATATATATAACAAATATCTTATCTTGGATTTTGTTTTTATAAAGAATTCTATTGTAAAGAGAAATTTAGTATATTTTAATTTCTATTTTCGTATTTTTAGATATCCCCAAGTGAATTTCCTTGTCAGCCCCACCCCAGGAACCACAGACAATGGTTGCTTTTAATATATGACTTTGTTGACATTGCATGTTACTAGCTTATTTTACGATGGAAAGTATGGGTGCTTCGAAAGTTGACCTAGATGTGAATATCATGTGCAAGAGATATATTTACTGATATAAATTAATAAAAGGTAATGAAGTCTTCGAGTTACCTGTCAAGTTGTTACCATAGAGAGCTAGAATTTTGAGGGATGTAAGGTTCCCGGATTCCTTTGGTATACTATCAATGAATTTGTTTTCTTTCAATTCCAATATTTGAAGCCCTCTACATTCCCCTAATTTGGCTGGAATTTGACCACCGAGCCGATTGGTTGTAAGATATAGCTCTTAACATTTCGACTAGAAACACTGGTCCCAATATTTACTTGATATGATGCACACATATATATTTAAATTTAGGATCGGATCCTCTCTGAGGGAATTCCTCTCCTAGCATCTCCAAGGATTTAATGTCACGCCCCAAAAATTCTAACACAAGAACCGTTGTCTTATACTAAAATCTGGTATGTGACTCACATCATTCATCCACAATAAGCCATGATTAAACAGTATGATACATTATATTTAAAAATCCAGCAATCCAAAGGAAATTTATTACAACCCCAACTAATAAAAATTCCACCAACTAAATGAATCTTATTACAAAGTGTTTGCTAAGAAATAATAATAAAATCAATATGTGGAAAACCGGAAAATCTCCATCTCCCATTGAATCTCCTTTGCAAGCTAAATTCATGTGCACCTTAAAGTAATAAAGGGGTTAGCTCACAAGCTCAGCAAGAAATTGTCAAACGCTATCATCGTTCAGCAAGTCAATTCTTACTTAATCCGTATATATATACATATATAAGTGACCAAGAAAATATCTACTAATCATCGTCATTCTATAACATTAACTCAAACTGTGAACTTATAACCCATCAAGAATTAAAATTACTAAAATTCCACTTACCTCGCATGAGCCCCTGGCTCCCCTCAATCAGTTGGCGTTCTAATGCCATTACCTCACATGAGCCCCTAGCTCCACTCCGATTAAATGGTGTGAATTGCATAGTCCCTGACTACCAATTGCACACATGTGGCTGGGTTGTACGTCTACTCACCCAGATGATCCCTGATCACGTCCACACAATAAGGGATAATTAGACCCATGGCCATAACACAAAATAGTGCACTCGCATAAGGCTGGTCCCTGACCATGCCTAACTGATCCGATAATCTCGACCAATCATTAAGAGGTTAGTCCCGAACTACTGCTCCGTTTAGTTCACATACCTCATCTAAATACCAAAAGCATTGCTTTAATAAATATCTTTACCATTTAGTAATCATAACTCATAATTTCCCGAGTACACCAAATACCTTAATTAATTACCTAAATAATTAATAAATAAAAACATTCCATAACATACTCGTAGTCTTAGATTTTTGCAACCTGCTAACTTATATTCTAAAAATCACCCTCATTGTCGGCTAATCTGAGTTGACTTTAACTACACTCACCATCATCTATACCATGGCTTAACTTCTAATACTAGTTCAATTTCTTTATTGAAATCCACGGATCCTTAATTGACACCTATATAACCATGGATTATATATACCATAGACGCAAAGCTACCAGCAGCCAAGTTAAACTAATTGAACAACTAATCCACATATATGTGTGCAATAAAATACCATCTATTAGATATATCTCTAAATTCTTCATAATATTTATGTACAACACATGCACAACATCAAGAGTTCATAATTCTCCCAAATAAATTCTTACACCAGATTATTAAATAATTATCTCCCGATCAATAATCCAACTTTCAGTACTAGAGTATTCATGACATGCAAAACCTCAAAACCCATTTACTGCCAACCAGCACCATCATCTTATTCATTACTCCAATAATTTAATACTTTTAATCACCATTATCAATTCATGTGTGATAACTAAAGCAATTTCCATTCTTTGTAAAATACAGAACTCCAAGCATTTACTTTTTTTCAAACCACACAATGACTTATACTCCATTAAGACAACATCTGTTAAATATGCTACGAACATGGTCCCATTGTTACAATATGTGTGCCCTAGCATAGCAAATTCTAATTTTGGATTGTAAAAGTCATGGTTCCTTATCTGAATATTATTATTAAAGCATTATACAATTGGTGAATGGAATGTATTATTTTTCGATTCATTATGGAATTGATTGTATCCACTTGATTACAAGATATATTTATATATGTATGTAATGGCAATTAATACTATGTTATAAATTAGTAATCATAAATGGTTCAAAGTCGGTAATTATAGATGGACATTTAATTAGTTAAGACTTGAACCGAGTCCACGATAGATTGAGATATATTGCGAGAGCTGTCGTATGCAATTGCTCTCTATCACAGTCATGGCTTTTGACTCTTAAGCATGAGAGAAGTATAGACTCTTTTATTAATTAATAATTACTTTGATTTGTTCGGCAGATACCTCGAGATTCTTAGATCGACACTTTGGGTAGTTATGTAATTAATAGTTAGAGGTTTATATTCTCAATATTTACATCAGTGTTATTTGTATTTATTTTGTTTTGATTATGGTTGATCACAAATTAAATTCGAAGGCCTTCGTATGTTTTAGACAAATGTTTTATATATATATTTATTTAGTAAATTATTATTTTTGTCAAATAAATATTTTATTGTGATCGAGCTGGAAATAATCAAAGGTAACAAAATAATTATATTAATTATATTGTCGGATTGATGACTTTAATTATCCGATAAATAATTAAGCATAGAGGAGTCAAAGTGCAACATTGACTTAGAGGTTATTTACTATTTAATTGGAGTGCAATTAATTTCTTTTAGTGGAGTAGAAATTAATTTATCAATTAATTGAATTGGGTCTATGGTTTAATGAACCAGCCAATTATTAATTTATAGGAGCTAAGAAAATAGTAAGCCCAAAAGGATTCTCACCAATAGTCCAAGTTGATATTGGAGTTCTGTTAAAATTGAGAAAGTTGATTTAGAAATGAAGAATGATTTATTGTTTTCTTATTCTTATTTTTATTTTGCCTATATATACATGGGTCCATGGATATTTTAGGAGTGACTTTAAGAACAAAAAAAAGGAATACACTTTCTCTCTCTAGATTTTAGGGTTTGTTTTCTCTTCTAAAGGAGGCTACCACAAGCCTAGATTCCAAGGTTATTCATCAAGGCATATTGGTGATTCCTAAAGGGAAGATTATAATCAAGAAGAAGGAGAAATCATCTTGCTAAAGGGATCTACAATAAGTGAGAACATTCACTTTAGAGGAAAGATTAAAA